AAAAGTAATAGCCTTTCAGAATTGTGTCATTTCAAGTTGATTGAAGTTGAAATATGCATAAGGATTGCATTGCGCTATTTGGGCCCAAGATCTAAAAAGATCGTTAGAGACGAATGAGCAAAAGAGCCATTAAATTTTCTGCATTCTATTTCTATATTAAGTATCATTGTTATTGCAGGAGAGTCCAATAAAAATGTTTGAACTTCGTGCAACATATTTGTGTTTTTGAATTTTTGTTCCAAGGTATTACATGATCCCTGATATCAAAAACGATTGGAGTGCATCTAGATATATTGACTTCTAATAACTGAATTTAGCTAATGGACAATGTATACTTTTTTATCCATCACTTATGATAGCAGTACTCATTTATCGCGTGTAATATGTATCATTGTAGGCTATGTGCACTGAATAGATGGTGAGCTGCTCTATTCTATTCCCTAATCGTTATTGTTAACTACCGTTAAATATGAATAGAACACAATTGCAAATACATGTAATAAATATGCTAAACTATGCTAATGAATGAATAAAAAAAACAGTTTCGAGTAAATATCTCGGGGGCTTGTCTGACGCAATTAGTATATAGGTTGGTAACAGCCGCTAGTGGATATACATTCGTGAAAGAACGCATTCCCGCTGGTACACATAACCAGACAGCATATCTAAATTATACGGTTTTGGATATTGCGCATCAGTAAGGCCTGGGGGCATCAAGTTTGCCAAAGATAGACAGACAAGTATCACGGATGTGGTGTAGCAATAAAAAAATGTTTTTTTTTAAATAAAATTTTTGGTTTAATATAAGTTTCCACAGGATTCGGGCAAAAAGTATTAGCCTTTTTCCATTTCCATTTAGTGCTGAAAATTCGAAATCAATTTGTCATTTAGTTGCGGAGAAAAACGATTACCCCATCAACAACAATCACTTTGGTCAAGTTTTGCAACATAATTTGGTAACATAATTCAAATTCGATTCCTGCATGACTTTTTTGAACCCCTATTCAATCGTTCGTAACTGCATGCGTTGAAAGGATTTTTGTTGTTGAAAATGTCCGCGTGTTAAAACATATAAACCCAAATACTGTTGTGCATTCTAGTAAAATATTGAAATCGAAGGATAATCTTATATATATATATATATATATTAAACAGACTATAGTATAGTATCTCACATCTACCCCATCACACGAAAATAGTTGCATAACAATCAATTCTGATCGATTTGTTATCCTAAATTTTAAAAATGAAAGTTTTTAGTGGATTCCAACACTTCTATACACTCAAAATACCATTTTCAAGAAATTATATTGGCAGCATTTTCAAAACGATTTCCCTCAAAGAAAAACTTTGACATTCTTTATGTCTTCTATATATTTGGTATAAAACTCCAATCTAACAAAAACAAATATTAAGAACTAGAAGCTCAATTTTGTTTTAGTCACTGGCTTTTCATATTATTATGGAGTCATGAGTGTTTAAACCTTCTTTTCTATTTCCGCTATTTAACCTCAGGGAAAGTATCTAGCAAGTATAATATTTAAGTATTCTGTAATAACATTTCACTGAATCAAAAATTAACATGAAATGAACTTAGCATGTGATTTTGCAGCAAACCACAAGCCTTCTGGTCAGAGAATCCAGGTCATATATGGGAATAGCTAACAAGGTGATTACTGATTAGTAAATTATATTTAATCATTTTCGAAAAATATTAGAGGCAATAATTTACGAACGAGCCAAATATAAGGCTACTTGATATCTGATATATGCCTTTTGTCCTGGTGGATGTAAAATTGAGATGTAAAAAGTTAACTGATCATGAAATATCATTACAGAGTGTGAAGGGGTGGGCTGGCATTAAAATGGACTGATTTTGATCCCCAAATTCCGAATTGACAATTTAAACACAGGTAAACCAATGCGCTAAACCCTACGCGTCCGCGTAATTCATGACTGGCATATAGGATATGGAAGATACTTATCGCGGTTAGAATTAGAAATTCGAGACAAAATAATCTACAGTGTTTTGAAGAGCTCACTTTACAACGCATGAGATAAAACTTAAATGTTGTTGGATGTGGGTGGTATAGGACAAAACCAGTTTTTCGTAGAGATGTATGGTAACTGAGGCTAACTGAGTTTAAATATCTTTCAGATATGTTCAAGCATTACAGGTGTGGATTGACATTACAATATTATCATCATATTATAGCAGCTCCACCTTTTTAAGTCACTTTATCGTATTTTTCGTAATTTTTCGCTTGTAGTAATCACTGGGGAAAAAGTACATACGCAAATTTAATGTTAGATAAGAAAGTACGTTCAATCACTGTCTACGTTGGAAGTTATGTACAAATGAGCAATATTGAGATCTGCTACTTCTTCTTACGCAGAAATCATTAAATCATCTTTCAAACTTGTAAGTTTACCAAGGATTATACTGAATGAACCAATAACAAAATTGATTTTCGTATTTCAAATGGAAACTAGAAAATATAAAAAATTGTCTGTTGTTGATATAAAATATTGTTATTTTTGCATAAAGCAGCTCAAATGTCTAATAAATAGAAGTAACGGTATGTCTTTTAAGCATTAATAGTCGATGAGGTAATAAAATTAGTTTATATGAGAATAGATAAACATAGATACGCAATGCATGGCAAATTTTGATATAGGTTGCGTGACAGATCTGCAATGTTTAGTACTTATGAAAACTATTCTGTGATAGCAAATGCCGGAGGCTTGCAAAGAATCTTTAAGCTCAACTATGAAGACATAAAACACAAACACACCTAATCTACTATGAAGATGTATTGGAAAGATTGTTGGAAATACATTTTATAAAACATGTTTTTTCATTACCACGTAACACGTGAAAATAGCGATTGACAGGGAGATAATCTAAGAAGCATTCAACAATGACAGCAACAAAGTTATTGGATTGCAATAGGGATTTTTTAGACAGTAGAACTGTGGCTTCAGATATTGATAGTATATCATCCACATACATTTAAATTACATATCTTTGTTTAACCAAAAAATTGTAAAAATGCTCATTGGCTGGGTGTGAAATAAAACATAAACAATGTGCGATATCTCGCAAACGACGGACAGATTAAATCCCATGAGAAACTTTTTTTAGTTTGAAGTAGGACTATTTTTTCCTAAATAAACGCTATCAATTGAATTTTGTTTTCAATATTGATGGAGTATATATGACAATTTAACCGATTCGCAAAAAAAGAATTAGGCTTCGTTGCGACGAACCTTGCACGACCAGCTTTTATCGGGCAGTTTGATCGGGCTTTAGGCAATTTACCGCTAAAATAGTCACATTTATTGTCGTTGAAGTGATTCATTTATTCTGTACTTGTTGCATGATGAGTGAGGTATTTGTTACTGCGGTTGTTTTTCGGACATATGGCGATTCCAGCCCTAGATATTTATTACTAAACATGCAAATTGATACATTTAAGAATGAATATGCTAAAGATGAATAACGTGTAAATATTGTTAACAAATTCTTATTAGCAGAAAACTAGAAAGTCAAAATGAGAAGCCAAAAGATACCGTTAGATTGAAATTAAGACCCAGCAGCTTAAACCCTTAGCAAAAAACTAACTCATCTTGCTGAATCTTACAACTGAATATCTTAGTGTGTACAAGAAGTAACGTTTAGCACTTGATTCGTTTGTTTGTACTTTTTCGTTTTCATCACCAAACTTACTTTTTTAGCACATTTCAGTGAAAAACGTGGAGCGGTTGTAATGCGGCCTAAAGCCCCCGGGGCTGATTTTTATGTCATTGCGGAGGTTGCGGTTTCTCTTTTTGTTTGCTAAATCGTTTTGTAACCAATAGTTTGAGAAATAGATTTCAACTGCTTTTGGCAAAAGGAAATAGAAACGTTTTTCGTGTACATGATGGGAAGACAAATATAAGTAGTTATTTTTGTTTTTGAGCCTGATTATAGATCGGTGAAGAGAAGGATGAGTTCTATAGTTTATTCATTTTAGCTATGTCGAATTGAAAAAGTAGTATTGAAAATTTTACCAATGGAAAAGTTGCAAAAGTAAAGGATACGATATATTTACAACTGTTATTGTATAGGTCTTAAGATGGAGCATACCTTCGAGAAGTGTTTTAACAGAAAGCATATTTTTGTTAGACGCTTTGGAGGAATTAGATCTAAATCTATAAAGAACAATGTTCCGCAAACTCAATCTGTGGTAAACTTGTGGCCTGTGCGGTACAGAACACTATTTATTTGTAAACCAAGTTCAAACCTAGCACATTACTCAGTATTTCATATTCATAGAATGTGTGTCCATTTGATGATAGTTCGCACATATTCCAAATGGTTTTGTTCCTATAACTCTGTGGTTCTTGAACTTTAGTAATCCGTGAATCATTTCCAAACACTGTAATCACTCGTGGCCCCCGCATTTTATAAAAATATCTAGTTTTGCTTTAATTGGGGGTTGTCATCAGTTTTACAAAATAATCAACAAACCACAACAAATAAATAAATACATTACAGTCAAAAATTAAACAAATCACAGTCACAGTCAATGTACTTTAAATTAATGTAGTCATCGCGAACGTCTTTACTTGTGGACTCCAGAGAACAACTTCTTTCCGACCTAAAGGAGCCGATGGCACATAATTTGAAATAATAAAAAAAACTGATTCTCGCGAAGGGGGGTTTCAGTGAATTCATCAAATTGGCATCTATATATACCTATAGCTGGTAAAACCTTTAGGTTTTTTGTTAGACCTTCATTTTTTGAGACCCTACCAACGGCGTTATCTTTACCCGCATATAACGGAAAGGGGCTCCCGAAGTATGCGAACCAAAAGATAGTTCATTAGAGTCCTAGTATGTTATGCTCAGATTGTGACACTATTTTAAGAGAGTACTTGCGATTTCTCCCTGTTTTTTTATTATTATTATGGGACGTCCGCTCAAAATGTGCTTCTGACTGATTTAGATAAATGTAAAATAAAACTTTGCTTTGAGAATAACTAAGTGCTTTAAGAAAACCAGAGAATAATGTTTTGAAGAGTTCGTATTTGTGGATGATCTTTTCGTGACTATACTTCATAAAAGACTACTGAAATGAAGATATTATTTGACGTAATGCCATCCAAAGTAAAACAAGTTAAAAGACGTCATAGATCCATCCGTTCGTTGTGCATTTTTGCACTTCTTATATGCAGCACCAAACTATTTATGAGTTACAACATTTTTCCGACATTCCACCTCATGAATCGTTTTGTAAAAAATAGAAAAACAATTTCCAGTAACCAAATTTTGGAATTTGGAGATACGCAGGAAACAATGTGGAATTCAGAAGAAACAAGATACCAAACAAATGAAAAATACTTCTCATTAGGAAATGGTAAGTAATATACGATATATAAAAGTAATCTTATTCCTTATTGGAATTTTCGAATGTAATATTATAAAAAATTGGATGGAAAAGAAAATGAACATCCATACTGCATGCACATATTTCACTTACGTGATACTCTTTCAATCTATAGTAAAAATTGCACCATCAAAATTTAAGTAATTTTGAATGACTCATTTTAAATTTACGTTCATGCTTACACAAGTAATGCAGATGAGGGTTTGTTAAATTATATGCGTCATAAAATCTGAGTTTTCATTAGATATTGATCGAACTCATAGTCGAAATTTAGTCAAAAAAAATTTTTGTATTGAAAAGATAGTTTGAAATGAAAATAGCTGGTTTTCCAATAAAAATATAAAACGATGACACGTAAACTACATATACTTCGCATTGATAATGAATGGAGCGACATTGCTCTCGAGACTATATTAACAATCTGTAGTGAATGATACAGATAAAATTTTATTATGTACAATTTATGCCACAGCTAGATTAAAGATGTACTTTGCCCATTGTATTTACCACATTTCAAGGAATGCATGCTAAAATTCTAGACATTTTGTCCTTCTGATAACTCTGGAAGTTACAGTTTTTCTTGTTTCAATTTCTTTCTTTTTTTTCTAGAATCGCAGCAATCAAAAATTACACAAAATAATAAAATTGTCGTTGAGAAATTGGATGATGGGCGTAACACATTTCATATTAAAGGACTTCCAACTGCCAGTAGAAATATTTGCTATATATCACTTTTTGTTTTTCTCTTTTTATTACGTTTTTTCTAAATCAATGTATTGTCTCCTCAACTAAAAGGGGGTAGCTTATAGACATAAATGCAAGCATCATATTTTTTATCCAATTGTTCATTGCGATGATGAAGGTTACTTTGGATGTTTCAAAGTTTGAATCATTATTTCGACTGGACTCATAATTTACCGTTATATACCTCAGTAAGAAACTACATCCACAAGCTGATATATAGAATTACTTATAACTGAGAGAAACAGTTCACGAAAGTGTAAGTGATAGATGTAATCGTATATATTGATATCATATTATGTGGATTGGATAGATTTTTCAGAATTCTCATGTCATATGATAGTAATATGTGAAAGTATAGGAGAACCAGTCTGGTAGTCATGATATAAATAGTAGTCAACTTATTTCAGAAATACGAGAAGTTAGACATTTTTTGTCAATCACCAAACCACCGGAAAATATGAAACACGAGCTTACAACACAAGCTAAACAGGTCTATCAAAAAAGAAAAGAAAGGCTGTTGGAGGTAATAATGATCAGAAACAATTTTCTCTCTTTACTTCTCACATATAATTCTTCTTAGCATATTTATAAGTATTAGTTGCTCAATGGTTCAATTTGATCTTCCCAAACTCTCAAACCAAATGACGATGAAAAGACGATATTCATATACATGCGATTCATGTCAGGCTTAAACGAGTCTATACGAATCTATAATAATATTCGTCACGCTAATAACCGAATTGCGTAAGTCATTTTTAGCAGTTTTGAGAAAAACGTAAAATACTTCCTAATGATATTGTTATGCCATTGAGAGTCAATGATTTGCCATGGTTCAATTTTTTGATCGTATCCGGATTTAGGTTAATTTGTATGACGCAGTTAAGTGACGTCATAATGGCGCACTGTGACTTAGGCAGAAATGTGTCTATGACTTGGGGACATACGCAATTTTGCAACTTTACTATAAGCACCAGTCCTGAAAACTAAACATTCCAAAAACGAATGTAATTCTCAGTATCTACAATGTCTATCCCCAAAATACCTAATCTGTTCCAATTACATTACTTTTATGTTTAAAAATATATATTCCATCAATATAACACGTTCTGCACACCCACCGAAATAAGACTAAAATTAAATAAATATAAAGAATAAAATAGCAATGCACCCAATATAAAAGCCAACCAAGGTGAGTTGGACTTCGCCAGTAAATATCACAAGTGCACGCCTTCCTATACTGTAGTATAAATTCAAATTAATGCGCGCTAAGCTAGAATCCGAGATGCAAAAACTCGAAAATACTTTGCCGAGGCTATTTTACTTTTGTGACGTCACAATAGTCATGCGGAACCATGATAATTCATTATGACGAAACAATTGCACAAATGTGCATGTCATACTCAATCTCCATTTTTATGGTGTTCAGAATTCTTGAAATGAAATCTGAGTAAACAGACAGGTGCGCAGCATTACATAAATACCTATTTTATAAAAAAAACTCGAAATCGCCAAAAATGACTTACGCAATTCGGTTATTAGCGTGAGGATATACATTTCAAATGGTATGTTGTTGCAAACATTGATCATCAGTTTTATCATTCGCTTTTTAAAAATCACTCGTTGGTACTTGGGTATTAATTTCACCATTTCTAGATATTTTTACAAATATTTTATTATTGGATACATATTGGCAACGCCCAAAGAAGTTTTTAATTGGATTGTTTTAATTTTTTAAATTATTTTAAATTATAAATTTAATTCATAAATAATATAAATGAAAAGAATCACAGAGACAATTTTTTATTAGCATGTTCCGGAATTTACTATCATTTAGTATCTAACGTAAATTGTGCATCTATAGACGTGTGAAGATCATCTGAAACAGGAATGGTCGAACGATATGCAGCTTATTTCATCACCAGATCAAATATTGACTGTTTGCGTGGTGCAAAAGGCAGGAAGTTCAAGCTGGTACGTAATTTGTCAAAGTATAAATATATCTCCATATTTCCGAATATTATTAATTTAATTAATCGCTTATTCAAACCGTACATGACTGCAAAACCTCTAACAAGGGAAATTCCATGACCTTATGCCCGAATCACGACTGTATATTATGAGAAGGAAGTCTGTGATGTTTTACCATTTTACAGACAAAAGTACAAATTAGTTATAAAAGCGCAGAAGAATATTTTGGAATATCTTAATTTAAAATGCTCAAAATTGTACTTTTGTATAGGTATCTGACTTTGGTGGAAATATAGTCATTTACGAAGTAAACCCTTTAAAAAACTCAGAGAATTAAGAGACTTTTCGGACGTTTGAATCTGCATTTAAGAAAAGCATAGATTTTTGAATGTTTATAATAGCGTTTTCAATCGTGTTAAGGTACTAAAAATTTGAACTCGATTGGTCCATTAGTTATAGAAATAAAAGCGACTTTTAGAATAACAAGCAAACTTTAGCAAAACGTTCCACAGGTATACCTTATGTCCAAAAATAATTGTGTGTTGGGAAACTGTAAAAACCGAAAGCTTGTTGAAGTTCTACGCGACGAAAGCCAGCAAACATTTTGAATTGCTCCCCATTTTTGATGGTATAATATCGTTTACGGTTATCATATCGTTATAATATCGTTTTTCGATGGATCCTTCGAAGCGTGTATATTTTGAGTGTTATTTGGTTAAAGAATATGAATACAAATTAATATTTAAAAGAGACTAATTAAACCCTGAAGCTGACAAAAATGTATTTTCATTTCCCATAATGTCCGCCTTAAAAATTGATATTTGAATGCATGATTGTATATTCTACTAGAGTATTAGGCGCCTTTTTCTGCTCGTATTTGTTGCTACATACCTTATTTTTGTCATACTGTGGAGGAACTTCTTATTTTACGTTATTTCATTGAATAATATTTGGCCAAAGAAAAAAGTGTAATGGGTCGCGTCAAATCTACGAGTGGTATTCGGCGTTTTTGTGAGCCTTTAGGCTATAGCAAAACGCGTTTTAGAATATTATCAATTGACTGGTTGTAACTCGGAACCTTAAAATGTTGATATCATATCTCTGGATTTTATCTATACATTTTGCAAATCGTGACGTTAAAGACATGGAACTCGACCCTGAAATTGCAGTTCATTTTGGGCTAATTCAATCCATTCTCGTCCCGGCGCAAGTTTGTGGCGTTCGTTTATCGTTTTCGACATTTACAAATATGTATCCTTCAAAATATCGTAGTATTGTTTCTAATACCATGTTCTTAAATGAAAAAATCTTCAAAACGTTCGATTTTACAAATAATTTCATAACTTGAATTTTTGATGCTCACAAAAATAAACAGATTGGCACAAAATCGTCATGAAATTTACTGATTTCAGAATGTACTGAAGTAATAAGTAAAAATTATTTCCTATTTTTATACTTGAACGAAGTTTGTATTTTCATTGCTAACTGAGCAATGGTAACAGATATTATCAATTGAAAACCACTAAGAGAGTGCCTGTTTTAAAAAGCTATAAAATATTAGGAGCAAGAATTTTGAATTCCTTTTTTGCAAGCAAAGAAACAATTGTGACCGTAAAAATTACTAAATAATAAATTTCATTGTTTTACACAGGCACAAAGTGGTGTACAATCTGAGAAATCCAAATACCACTTGGAGCGGAATTGGTCATGGTATCAATCGAGAGCACGGAATGTCCCTTCCTGAAATTGTCAAATACGATCTTATGAATAACGAAAATGGAACAAGAGTACTAACCGTTCGACATCCATTTTCGCGAATAATATCTGGCTGGAACAACAAATTTCATAAGTAAGAAATAAATGAACAAAAATCTTTACCCGCCCATAAAACTATTCTGTCATACTAGAGTTAATCAACATAAAATCAACGTCGTATCATAGTATAATTCTCTCAGCAGAATAATTGACGAAATATCAAGTATCATAAACGCACGTACGATATATTAAAAAAATATATAATTTGTAATACTTTTTGTTTTAAAGTTTTGAGAAATGTGTCCTTTGATGTATACATTAATTGAAAAAATTTGAACCAATTGGCACGAGTTAAATATTATTTTACCGACAGAAACCACTTACAATCGTCGACAAGGATTCTCAGTGAGTTACGTGGAATTGAAAAATATATCAATCTTTCAAAAGCGGATGATGATCATATTATTGCATTTGAGGATTTTGTTCAGTATCTCGTCGACAGAGGTTTAAAAGGAATAGACGCTCATTTCCGAACAGTGGAACAACTATGCAGGCCATGTAATTTTCCTTATGACTATATTAGTAAAACTGAAACGTCTTTACATCACTTGTGGTACATATTGGAAAGAGTGGGAGGAAATATGACAAATTTTGCAAAACATTATGCCGTTAAAGATGGATTTATTAAGGGCAAACGCGAACACTTTGACATGTGGAAAGCAGAGCAAAAAATTATTTCAAATTTTTTTGAAAAAGTGCCAGTAACAACAACAGAGAAATTGTTTGATTTGTATAAAATAGATTTTCACAGGTTTGGATATACGTTCGATATAGAATCAAGGATTGCAGGAGACAATTTGGGTTAAGTCCAACTTCCAATTGAAAATATTTTCCATATTGGAAAATAAAATAACGTGTTGTAGATAATACTTCTTTCTACGTTAGAAAATATTCTAATTATTTACAGCACTAAATATTGTTATGCAATACCTCAGCTCAATTACCTTTCGTCATCTTCATAAATATATTTTCACTTTTACAAGGATTTTTTTTTTCGCGACCATTCAATGTTTTCAATGCAGTTACTTCACATGCTCAGCCGTAACGGTCATGCTTGCCAACGCTTAGTAACGTGAATTCGCAACAACCACAAGTAATTAAGTTCTTTGTAAGCGCTGTTCAGTTACTAGACAACAAAAAATTGCAGAAATTAATCATTTATTGTCAAGGTATAATGGCAGATTATTATATAGTCAGTAGTGGTTATCCATCTTTGATTTGAAACAATAGGATGAATTTGTGACAATTCAATGTGGACGTGCAAGTCTTCAAACCGAAAGTTATTCACAGTGTAGGTGTGATATTATATTTAATACACAGTTCTTCGTGATATCGTCTTGTTCGCAATCCTCTTCTTTTTTCTGTGGCATTCAGAATTTGTAAGATTCCGGAGCGTGCTCATCTGTTTCAGAACATGTAAATTTTAAAATCACTCAGCAATCGCCCTCAAAAGTTCATGCCAAGCCACCCGCCAGCAGAGTGCTAATATCGAAAGTATAACCAAACGCCTCAAAGTCGTTTGCATACAACTGTTTCAAGACACGCGTCGTCGCGCGAGGTAATTTTCGGAAAAGACGAGATATCACTCTAGCCTCGTCTGTTTGTCTCTCTTCTGCAGTAGTTGTACCCTTGACAGGCAAATTTACTGAGCTTGGAACATGCCTTGAAAAACTATTTAGCGTTGCATTCATTTTTTCTGTAACAAACCAAGAGTCTTCTGGGGCAGTTTCTGCCTTGATGATGTAATCATATGGAAACATACACGGACTGCACAGTTCGCTGATGGATTTCAAGTGAACGTCAACTTCATCTAATCCAACATCGGCCACGTATTGTGCCAAGTCTTCAAATGCTATCACATGATCTTTATCCGGAGGATGCTTCTGAACATAATCTTTCAAGCCGGGCATGGAATTCATCATCTTGTTTCCATTCTGCTGGACATAATCTCTAACAGTGAAACATATAAAGTGATTTGATTAAATGATATTATAGCAGTACTACTCATTCGTCGAAAAAAAAATCGATCAATATTTGGATATCAACTTTTATTGAATTTGCAAGTAGACAGGGCTATTTCAGTTTCATCAAATCATAGTATTACAAGCACAACGATGCTATATATATACATATGTATATATGTAAATAGTAATTCGTGTTATCATGATCTACCGGGATTGTTCTCTTTGCTCCATATTTGAAGTGGAGACGTTAATTTATTTCTCATTTATATTGATATTCTCTTAAATTAATATCCAAATAATAGATATATCCAATATACCAAATGGTAGTCGCGAAAATATTTTTGTAAATTCATTTGCGATTCAATTATGACCGGATGGTGGGACATTAAAATTAGATTTGAAAATGTATTTTTTAAACCAGCTGGTGGAGAGAAACTAAACGTTTTATTTCTCGTTACCAGTACACATTATCATTCAGGCTAGTAATAAGACGATTTGAGACATTGGTCTGAAAGATGATCAAATGAAGGATACAAAGTTAAATGGAATCGGTCTGGGCAATACTTAATACAGTGATGCTGTTAATGGTATGATACTCAAAAGAATTCTCGAGTGATAAAAACACTTAAATGTTTGCTGAAATTTGGATTTCAAAGACAGAGAAATCATTTATAATTTATGTTATAAGTTTTCAATATCCATACATTGCATGATCATTGTGATTTCTTTTCTACAATTCAGGGATATGTTATATATAAATGTTTTATTTGGTCGAATAATGCAGAATCTAATGCAACCAACATATGTATTATGAATATTTTTGCAGAAGCTGCAGAATTTGTGTTCCACTTACTTGTGAAATTTATTATTCCATGCTGATACCAGCCTCGCAAATGGATGCCTGACAGTAATAACTCTGACAGAGTTCTTAGAATGGATCAGTCTGCGTCTTGTCGACTTATCGAGCTCAGTTGCATACTGCCAGTTTTTTATTCGGAGTCCGTCCCATTGCTGGTCTGGAAATCGCATATCGTGAACCAGTTTGTGCCTAAATGCGAAAAATGATTCCTAAATAAGAACATCATCACGCAATGGCAAGATGAAGATGTACAATATATTAGTCAGGTTCGGATTTAGGTATACTCTGAACTCCATACATTTTATGGCCTTTCTTGTAACCTGGACACTTTTTACAGCATCCGTGAATGTTCAACACATCGATTTACCAGAATGTCGCATTGATATATTTAATATTCAGTATTAAGATCAATGTATGTGTTCTGTAAGTAAATCTTACCAAGAAGTGCTTCCAGCTTTTTGTACTGTACATACCACAAAATCACGTTCCGGTACCGCTAACATTTGCATTGTATCCGACCACATCCAGCCTTTATTCGGCCCACAGTACTAAATAAATAATTTTCTGTAATAGGTTTCGAACTCAAACAAAATAGAAAAAATCATCTGCTACACTACCCACACACATTTCTTAAGTTTCTCCGTCTTTTACTAAAAATCTCGCCAACGTCTTTTCTCATTTTATTTCTCGCTTTATCTTGTGGATTGAAAATCTGCACAACTGTACTATATCGATCAGGGTCTGAAATAAAATGGAATATGTTAACGAATTATCATAATCGTTATTTTAAAATTGCACAATATTCTGTTACCTTTTTGTACTTCCTTTGCCGTAGTCTCTATATTTTTTTCGTGCATTTTTTTATTTGGATGTTTCTTGGTCGTCGTTGTTATCGGTGTCGTATTTTCAGAAACGGCTGAATGGGGCATCGTAAATTCATCTGGATCTTCGGTGGTCACAAGATTCGTATCATTCGTGAGTTCGATTTCTCTTGGCGTTGTTTCATCATATATAATAGTAAAGCCTGTAGTAATTTCATCTTCTACCGTTGTTGTTTTTGGTGTTAAGGTAGGTTCAAAATCAAGTTTGGCCTTTTCTGTTAGGTCAAAAACTTTAGCCGTTTGCGACAGTAAAACGAAACCCGAATCATTATGTGTTTGGCCTCCTGAAAAAGTAGCATCACAAAAATTACTTTGAGATAAAAACTCCAATCCAAAATATATATTCAATTGAAATGAAAGTCAGACCATGCACTCATTACATGTAAATCATTCGGCATTTCGATGAACTTACCTTCATCAGCAATACTGCTATGCGTTCGTGACTTCACTGTATCATTTAGTTTATCAACCTGGATTCCAGAGAATAAATTCCAATGTTTGCTGTAAATTTCATCCACTTGGTGTTTCAGTTCATTATCGAGTTCTACATCTGCGTGAAATATACTCTCAAAATTTTGTTTATTGTTATATAAATTATAAGAAGGTGTCATTACATCAGCAATAAGAATACATGTTTTTCTCCTTCCTGAATAAAGCCACTATAGGATGAAAATTTTTTCTAATTAATTCTGATCTGGAGCTATACATTTCTCATTTTGCCATTTTTCATGCCGAAATATGTATTGCAAAGTGAATCTGAGAGTGACAAATGAGTTGCCGAGTGTCAAACTGCCATTATAATACATATTAATGTGGTATGTATGTATGTATGTATGTATGTATGTTTATTCGTCTCGTAAAAGCAATATAAAAGAGTAAGTAATTATAAATACTGAAGACGGGATGTATGCACAAGACCATATTGGCGTTTCTATTTGAATCAGAATGAAAGTAAATTTTACTTACTAGTAGAGGGAAATTCTTTTACTGGAAACTGCAACCACGTCAACTGGATGGAGCCGTAAACGTAGAACATAATTGTAAAAATACAAGAAATCACCAAAATTTTTGTAGCTGTATTTGCTAGTTTGGGTTTGCACCTGTATCAAAAACAAGCTCAATATGAGAATTCAGTGAATCGCTGTTGAAAAGTTTGTTTTTGTTGTTGGCGTTATTCCTTTTCTGAGAAATTGCATTTTTCCGCAACTAATGGATCAAACCATTTCAAATTTTCAGTCCTTGACAATACCTTCAGTACTTTTTCTCGAATTAACTCTGTGTCATAACTCATAAAAAGGGACTCAATATTTCACTCAGCATTTTGATGTTTTGATTTAATTCATGATAACACCTCATTTTATTCAATTGAGCCGTGATACCCGATGATCAGTATCGATGTGGATGCGGCATGTCTTGTTATTTGTCAAAGTTTATAGAATATAGAATTTGAACAGATCGAATATTAGTGTATAGAAATGAAACAAATATAATATTAGGAAATACTTAAATGACAACAAAATAGTAAGACAGTGGTACTTGAGCAATTACACATCATATTGTCGTCAAATTCAATAACTTCGGATGCTTCCTAACCGCGGATGGAAATACAAGTCTGTGTTACTGGACTAAAATGACTAATCTATTAGCCCACTTATTTCAATGGCAAGTATTAAATTGCTCCAAATATTTATATAAATTTGACGTCGCATGTACAATATGCCGTAATTTATTACGGCAATATCCCGCACTTCTCCCATTCCAAGATTATGCTGATATTTAGATACAAAGAAATCACAACATTTGTCTGTGAAACGAGGACGTCTGGGAATATGGGGTTTGATAATAGGCCAAATTTCTGCCTAAGTTAGGCTCTTTGACATAGTTATTTCGTCATCGTGTACATATAATTGAGCATTGGTCTTCGATTTTTATAATCATCAACTCAATGAATTTGTAAAATTTGTTTGGTAACGCATTTTACAAGATCGGTACGATTGAACTGCGGTACGTACCGGGGAGCACATTACGTCATCACACTAGCATGTCTTGCTATCTTGAATATAATAATAATGAAGAGGAAGAAATTTACAGCTAACTCAATAACCTTTTGATATTTTATGCTAGCGAGGCTATTATGTCTTACAATTGATGAAAAGTATACGCAAATTGTAATTCAAGTAAGTACCTTTGCTGGAATGCATGATCGCGAAAAAATTCATGATCATTCCCAGTTAGTTGTTGTTACTCTATTTTAAAATATTAGCTTACAATCTGACAATCGATATCACTGTTCTCTAGTCTAGTATATGTAAATTCACCAGCACACTTACTTGAGAACCTCCGAGTATATCTCTGGCATCTTTTTCTCAAATTTGAGTAACCATTTTTCGTTACTGCGATGTTATATTCTGCATAATAGTCAGCAAAGATAACGAATAACAATTGCCTGAAGCGCTAAAATAAACGTCTTTTTTGAAGATATAATTAATTGAATAGAAGGCGCGTTTCATTACAGTCCAGTCAGGAGCAAAGTAAATAGCCCACACTATAACCTGCTGTGCTGCCAACTGAACATAAATTATATATATTCTCACATAAAAATAATTCGAAGTGAAATATTATTATGATTGTTATAGTACAACGATAAACATTTCAGTTTCTTTATGATATCACGTAATTTTGTTATCATTGTTTGTTCGATTACTTTACCCCTCCATAAAGGCTGAATTGTTCAACAATGTATTGCACAATAAATTACTTTTAGCTAACCTTGCTACGACTACATACCCCGAGGGCACAATAAAGTCGATTTATCGTACCCGTACTATTGAATAAACCGCTTTAGCTGCAATACGGACTTTTCCGCGTTAACAAACTTCATAAGATTTTGACAGGACTTTAAGGCAACCAGGAAAAGTTCGAGCAGTAGGATAGTTCTGAATTAGAGCATTTTACGAAAAATAATGAGAAAAAGTGTCACTTATCGACAAATCAAATAACATTTAAACGTTGATTAAGATGAAGGAGCCGAGAAAAGTCGAAAAATCGAGTAGGTGGCAGCAGTGGCGTATCTACTTAAAATGGCGGTCATGGCAAAGTCTAAAAATGCGCCCCCTTGATAGTTGTTTGACAATTTATAATAATTATTAATGAATTAGGATACTTCTACATTATTATTTGAGTAAAAATACGAGTTCCAGTTGTTCCCAATTTGAAATTATTTCATTGAAACGTTTTATTATTGATACTTTTCGCCGTTTTTGCGCCCATGTTCAAACGGCGCCCATGTTTGCCACACCCTAGATACGCCACTGGGTAGCAGATTCAGATTTTGATATTTATTTTCGTCATGCAAAACCAATACACGCTATGAAATAATAAATTACATGTCACTAATTACAAAAGCGGCTACCGGCTTGTCGTTGTTGATGAGGGGGCGGGGTCGCGAAAAACTCAATGAATCATCCAATCAGCGACACATTGTATCTGAATTGAAACAGCAAATATAGCAACGGAACAACTCAATAATAAATATTTACTTGAATGAACACAATCGTGAAAAGAAAGAACAAGAAACAATTCGAAATAAACTATGGGATGCCACACTGACTATAGAATATTAAGCATTTAATTAATTAAACACAATGATACAAAGAAACAACAACAAAAAATTTGAAATACTCTCAAAGTAATTACATGTAATAGGCCTGCTCTATGGATAAAGAATCCTGACTTGAAAGATCATTTTGATACATTTGGTGTTGACTCATCCCACTTTATCCATTTTCATATAGAATTTTAAATACTGCAGAGATACAGCTGCATTCAGATACCAGCACATTTGATAAAACATCCACTGTTCGTGTCATCATTATTCGAATAATGCTTACGCATTACATTCTCTAAAGTTTGACTATCATCCATCGCGAAGACATTCGCCTGCCTCCAATCGGGTAGGTATAACCAGATGAACGAGACGCAGAAATTGGTAATCAGGCACCGTTACGGCGAATTGTCTCATATTCTGCGTGCCCTATTTCCACTACTCATCGTACGTACAGAAATGTTTCTTATCTATTTTAATTATTTTGAAACACTTTATTTTAATATTTGTGTCAGGAGACAAGGAGAGTTACTAATATACCAATGCTACTTGTTTACAAAATGAAAAGCATGTAGGATCACATGTAGCACAAATCAAGATGGTTCCTGTTAATGAATTGTCTATCCGCAAACGAAATGACAGAAAATTTGAATATGAATGCAATAACGACTGCAAATTTGGAGATGGCTCGGAACAAGTTATGGCAGGAAAAGAGGAAGCATCAGCCAACACTACGTCAAAAATAGATTCTGTATGTCTGTTACAGTGTGTCGGAATATTTGGCGTTGCATTTGGAATTTATTCTAATACATTATATGGGGACTTTATACATGATGACAATCCTGCTATTTTACGGAATCCTGATGTCAAGGGATCAAATAGATTACTGAGTGTTTTCAAAAACGATTTCTGGGGGACACCGATGTCAAGCAACGTAAGTCACAAATCTTACAGGCCAATTTGCATTCTTATGTTTCGATTTGAACATTATCTGTTTGGATACAACCAATTTTTCTTTCATGTTACAAATGTATGTCTGCATTCAGTGGTGTCTGTTCTATTCTGGATTGTTTGCAATCGTGTAGTATTCAAGTCCAAAACGAACTGCAAAATTTTATCTTTCGTAAGCGCAATTTTGTTTGCGCTTCATCCAATACACACGGAAGCTGTAGCAAATATAGTCGGAAGAGCTGAACTTTTGTCATCGCTCTTCTATCTACTATCGATTCTGTGCTATAATATATCACTGAAGCGAGAAATTCAGCATGGATGTAAAATTACCGACGAAAAAGGGGATAAAAACGGCAATGAGAAGAATGATGAAATAAGAGTATTACTAAATGCCATGAGCTGTAAAGTTTGGTTGAAGATATATTTCTTTTCTTCACTACTGTTAGTCACATTTGCGATGCTATCGAAAGAAAGTGGAATAACAAGTTTGGGTATAATGCTCGTAATGGAATTTATTCACATGAGAGGATCATCAATAAAAAGTTCAGGAAAAGTAGTATTGCATGTTTATCGCGCAATAGCAGTTACATGTTGGATAACATTGCTCCTTATTTTTCGATTAGCAGTAATGAATTGGACGCAGCCAATATTTGCAAAACCTGATAACCCTGCTTCCCAAAGTCGTAATTTTATGACTCGACTTCTTACTTATTCATATCTGGTTTGGATTAATTTCAAGCTATTGGTTGCACCCGTTTATTTACTTTATGACTGGTCTTACGGCACTGTCCCGATAATAACATCTATATTCGATATTCGTAATTTTGTCACGTTACTGTTTGGGATATCTATAATTATTATAACCTTTCGAATAGCATTTGCTACGTGGAAAACGGGCATTATCAATCCATCCTGTTACGGATATCTCTTGTTGTTTATTCCCTACCTACCTGCATCAAACCTTTTTTTTCCTGTCGGCTTCGTCATTGCAGAAAGAACTCTGTACATGCCTAGCATGGGCTACATTATTCTACTTGTCGTTTTCTGGGAATATATCTATAACCGCTTCCATAATATTCATAAAGTTCTGAAAGCGATAATCATTTCAATAATGCTTTTGTATGGCATAAGAACGTGGGTTCGGAACCAGGATTGGCAAAATAAAGAAACATTGTTCAATTCCGGCGTGCATACAGCACCACAGAATGCAAAAATCAGATACAACTGGGGAAATTTTCTGCGAGACAATGGACGGTACAGAGACGCCATGTTAGAGTACGAAGAAACCTTGAAGTTGTACCCTAGCTACGCTGGAGCTCTAAACAACTTGGCAATCATATTGGAAATGAACCACTCTACCTGCGCAAGGGCGGAGGGGCTATACGTAAGATTAATACGACTGGAACCAAACCGGATTGATTCCTACAAAAACCTAGCTGATCTTCACATGCGGAAAAAGCGATACGATTCTGCAGTTGATGTGTATTCACGTATTTTTGATGAATTCGGAACTCATGTAGCACACGTCATCTCATTTGCAGAGATGTTGTACAAGAACAATTTGACAAATCAAGCCGAACGACTTCTAGCGAGGGTACTATCACAATATTGCACTGTACAGAAGGACGGTGAAATCATAAACATAATATTTAAGAGTCAAAATTTTAAACGGGCCTCCTCGTGCATATCCAATACAAATGAGCTACATACCGTATATACTTTATATACTAAGATCGCAACTAAAAAGCTTACTCCGAAGGAGTTGAGTATTTTATTAGAGCGATCTGTCACTCTTGAATCAATCCAATACATTTAAGAGAAATAACGCCAATGCACTGAATTTCAAAAATATTAACACCAAAACAAATACTGTATAAAATGAGTTCTGAAAATTATGTACTATTGTTTTTAATATTTTGATGCGTAATATACTGTGAATTTTACTATTTTGTAACTTGTTTGCTGTTTATATTACGTTTATTGCATATATACACAGCAACACTATATATATACGAGGTGATATCAGTGTTATATATATTGAATTTGGAGGTTGATCCCATTATTGGACACGGAATTAACATATGGATCGTTTTGTTAGGATGTTGTTGTTTTCTTAATAACCGCCAAACCTGAGTTTTGAGCATTGTTGATTTGCGATGGATATATACGTTGGGGATCTCACGAGTAACTTGGGATCGAGTGGAAGCTACGCCAGTGGTGAACAAGTTAAGTTTTGGAAGCATTTAGTATTCTTTTGTTCGTTAGTTGCTATAGATTCGATTTTTTGCTTGTTGGCATGGTATAGCACGCGATTTGCCCAGCAAATCTATTAAATATCGACCATTCTTCTTCAATGGTATCGTATCTGTCAATTCGTAACAATCGCCCTAACTAATATTTAAATGGCGTGGGATCGAACTAATTCGGAATGTACAAGTTTGTTGAATACATAACATGGATATAGGAAAACTACAATAGTCAGATATAAATTAAGATGACTTCACATGAGACTGAACCCGACGAGAAATCCCAACACCGAAGCAGATCGTCCATATTCGGCAGCGGTTTCTTGCAAACGCAAGTGCAGTTTTAAGTATTTTGTGGTGTCTGAAGCTACCGTAAAACGATGGCGGAATTTCAAACCATGGCCACTATAGCCAAACCACGACTTTTTAGCTGCCACAAACCAATGCGAGATGCCGGTACCATGGCAGCAAATTGAAAACCAATGACGGGTAAAATTTTGCTGTCGCAACCCAAAGTGGCTATGGTCACTTTGCCGCAACCAAGGCATGTCGGCTGTAATAGCAGGGCTGGCACTGATGGTAACAAATGCAACCCAAAGTGGCTATGGTCACTTTGCCGCAACCAAGGCATGTCGGCTGTAATAGCAGGGCTGCCACTGATGGTAACAAATGATGGTGACATTCGGCGCGGCGGTGTGGCTCAACGGGCTAAGCGTTAGGAATACGCTCGCCACCGCACCTCTAATTACTCTGCGTGGGTTCGCAGGTTCGAATCCCAGGCAGGGATGGTTATGTGCGAGAGGATTGCTGGACTCCTCGCCGTCGTTGGGTGGTTCACGTAACCGCTGGTCGGTTACGGCTTCCTCCACCACCAAGTCCATGCTTCCGAAAACAAACAATATAACTAATCCCATACCCGACTTGGAATGGTAACCGGACGAGAGGCCGCCATATGGATAAGCCGTCATATCGGCTTTCCTCTCCCCCGGGATAAATATGTAAATCCTATCCTATCCCCTAAATATTGAGTAAGTTGGAACATTTTTCTTATGGATACAGTTTTTAAAGATTTGGGGTTAGGTTTCAGGTTTAAGTATGTATAATTCTGCATGATAAACTAAAATCTGGTACATGACTTTGTGAATATACCGGTAATACTGATTACCGAATCGCGCCATAAAATTATGACGAGAGACGTCGCGGTTCGTTCGTGGCAGGAGCTGCCCTCAAGTGGTAAGAACTGCGACTCTGCAAACGCGAAGGACCAGTTACCAATTTTCCGTGTCCACGTGGATGACAAATATTACTAATATGAAATTTATAACTTGGTGCAATCATTTCTGAATGAAAATCAATGTAACTGTTTGTCTACACTAGCGTTTCCCAAACTTTTTTGGCCACGGAACACTTACACAATTTAATCCCGCCTCGCGGAACACCAAAAAATAAAAGGGTAAAATTGATAAAGAAAAGGGTGTAGTGCAGCGATTCCCAAAAGGGTGGCGAGTTGTCAAATGCGCCGCAAAAACTAACAGAACTAAAATATGATTGAATATTTTACATATATATTGCATTGTTTGTTTTGATTCGTTTATATGCGTCTTGATTCTCTGTATCACATTGTTATCAATGCCTACTCAATGTAGTTTTCATGGTTTTTGACCCTTCTCGGCAACTTATCACATTACATTACACCCACACATCGGATTGAATTGGTCCTTAGCTTGAGTATTTTAAAGTAGACAACAGCCCGAAAATTTATTACATTCGCGTATTTTTTGTGTGTTTATTTTTATGCCCAAGCCTTGTTTTAACAAAGTTTTTTTTTGTGAATGCGTGTTGGTGAGCGGGCACATGATACTCATCGTGTTTTAAACTTTTTTAAAGGTTTTGCTCGCTCTCCAGAATTCTCCATTTTTTTTTGTTTGTATTGTAAGATTGTGAAGATTTCGAAATAAAATATCCATCTATATATATATAGTTTTTTGTCTCCTATTTTAAATGCTGTGTATATGAATCAATAAATTAATTTTACCTTTCTATGCTGAGTGTTAATGAAAATGCCACTGCCCTCAGAAAGTTAGTCCGCATTAGGTCGACGGTGACATTGAACAATCACCAGTTGGTCGACAATTCCACGATCCCGAAATCGCCATGGCGACCAATTTAGTCGTTATTTTGATCCCTTTTCCAAAGAACACTCGCGGAACACAGTTTGGGAAACGCTGGCCTACACAGATGCAGACCAGCGAAGATTGTTGTAGCACGTTTAAAATCATTCGGCAATAATTGCTGTGCTGTAGTGCGTTGTCACTTCATTCAACTTCACCATCGACCCACTCAATGTTGGCATCAGCAATTCGATACGTATTTGTTTTCTTTACTTGGTAACATTTACTTGTGTTGTATTTTACTTTAGATTCATTCTAAATGTGCTTTAGATTTAAGTTGGATCAGCCTTATATCAAGGTATCCAGCTCGTACTCAATCTACTTTCTAAAATCTTTGTGGGTTATAATGTTTCCATAATAAAAATGCACTCAGATGGATTTTAATGTTTGTTGCGGATAGTTTAGTTTATAATTCAGTATGTTCGAACTCATTAGATGTTAACGCAATGGGTTCAATGTTTCTCCCAGCATCTGAATCGGTACTATATCAACGATTGATCTATTACTAATTATTATGTAAAGATGCTTTCGACTTCAATTCTTCTCAAACATTCCAATATGTTAGTATCTACCAATCCGTAATAATCGCCCCAACTAATATCGAAGTGGCGAGAGATTAAAATAACTTCAAATATCGGATTTTTATGTTTGTTGCACATAGTTTAAAATTCCTTGGATCAGACTTTGGCTTTATAATATAAGTGACGGAATTACGTATGCCTTTACATTTATTTCGAATCCACTGATTGGATGTTGACAGAGTTTTTTTCACATACAAGCGTATGGAAGACATGTTACAATTATTTGACCAACTTATTACATTCCTTGTACATTTTATACTTCAACGACTACGGACCTAACAAAGTGGACTTGTCAGTAACCCAGCTCCCAGAGACTCTCGGCACACCATTAAAGATGAACAAAATGTTAATGTATTTCTAAAGATTGATCAAATATTAACTGCATAGGTGAAATGTTGAACCATGTACCAAAAGAAAAGCAGTTATCACCACCGCCAACAATAAACAAAGTCTGCTGTAATACCGAAAAAATGCTGGTATGATTGTGAAGCATTATGATATCATTTGATATATCATTTACAGTATAAGATGAAGACTTTCCATTTTGCAAATTCAATACTGTTATCATACCACGCTCTCTTTCATCGCCGAATTTGGAGTTGATGTGAGATGTTACACCTCCTACCAATATTAACAAATCTCCATAGCAATGAGAAGTGTGAGAAAACAGCGGAGGCAGAGAGTATAGAATGATCCTGAAATGTTATCACATACTGAAAAATCAGTCCACTAGATCTGACTAGACTGAAACATACCGCTATAATTTGTACAAACTCATTTGCAAGCCATTGCCTCGAATAAAGAATCGCAATGGGCACAATGTTGGTGGTATTTTGATCAACTTTCTTTAGTATAACAGTCAAAAATTCGACACAGAGTATAATCAAGTAAGCTATATGTTGCACAGAAAAATCATTTTCTTACAGAAAAAAGCAGTGGATAAAAGTTTCAAACTTGAGGAAGAACTGAGAAAATAACAGTCCTTTCAAAAAACAAGGCAGATTAAGGGTACTCCCGTAGTATTTGTCCCAGGATAGGGTCAGGCCATAACTTTATTCTGATTATCTTTATTTTATTTCTATTAGGAGTTCGGGGACTGTTTGTGTTAGCCAAGTGAATATACCCCCTGCCCATAGATTTCTGTTCCTGTACACAACTTGATGTAAAGTAGCCGAACAATATTAGTTACCTCCATATTAGTACACAACTACACATACTTTTGTAGAGCGCCGATTAAAGTTCAAAATTGGAGATTGTGACCTGGATATGATGAGACTGTGAACACGCATACTAAATACAAAATGTTCAAAAGATACCTTTGCACACTTGCTTCAAGATTTTCTGTATCGATGCCAATCATGTATAAATCGGCAAAGATGACATTGCCATCACCAATGCCCCCAGACAACAGAATATTTCCATCATTTGTTGCACATACAGAATGGGAATGTCTGTTGAGAAATGAAATAATTTCAGAAACCATGAACATTAGATCACAAATCAATCGTTTTCAATTATCATGAATATACTACCAAAATGAAGTAAAAAAAACATAGATATTAAATTTAGTTCCTGAAACATGATAGAGTGTTCATATTAGACAAAATGACATTCCATCACATACATACCTTGGTGAAATTCCACTTCCATGCAGCGTTAATTGATTCCATTTCCTACTTTCAATATCATATACCCACATATCATCAAAAATTAATCGATCATCTCTACCTCCAAACAAAATCATAAACTTTTCCATTTGATTGTTAGAAATAATCTCAGTGGCATGCCTCCACCTTGGCGCAGGCCAATTTTCATCTTCTTTGACATCTATAACTTCCACTTTATACTGCCAATCACAGTCTTCCTGTAAATCTTCATTAGAAAATACCAGAAATGCTAAAGAATTTGTGCATTTGAGAGGCGACGCTCTACCACCAAAAACTAATATTATAGATTTTTCATGGTGTTGGCAAGCAACACTACTCCCAAACATTGGAAATGGAAATACACCAGCTCCATCCATTGTTTGATCG